AATTTGGGGGGGGGGGGGGGTGGGGGGGAGGGGCAAGTAGCCACTTTCAAGAACATCTTAACTGAATTTCTGAAGTCCTAAAGAATGTCTAGTGATAAACCTTATCAAAGCAGGAGATTTTGTAAAGGATGTGAAAGGATTTTTAGAAAGTCCTTGGAAACAGTTCTTATTTCAGATATGCAAGCATGAGCCTCTTCTCCTTTGGGCCTTCCTGGCCCTATTTTGTCTGGGTCTGAGAAAAGTGATTTCTTCCTGTTATCTCCAACTTTCACAAGCCTATGGTAAAATTGGTTTTGTTAAAAACTAATTTAACTAAACATTCAGTTTCCAAGAACCTATTAATGACATTAAGTCAGACTTACATTCTAACCCTCTTCATTTATGGCAAGCTAAGACATTTTTTACTTGGAATGACAAAGGCATTTCTTTATTTTTAGATCTTCTTCTCACTTACCCCAAGTAAAATATGAAGAGCCTCAGATTATTGTTTAAAACAGGGCTTCTGACTAGGCACAGTGGCTCATGCCTGGAATCCCAGCACTTTGGGAGGCCAAGGCAGGCAGATCATGAGGTCAAGAGATCAAGACCATCCTGGCCAACACGGTGAAACCCTGTCCTTACTAAAAATACAAAAATTATCTGGGCGTGGTGGTGCGTGCCTGTAGTCCCAGCTACTAAGGAGGCTAAGGCAGGAGAATTGTTTGAACCTGGGAGGCGGAGGTTGCAGCCTCCAAGATCCCACCACTACACTCCAGCCTGGCGACAGAGCGAGACTCCATCTCAAAAAAACAAAAAACGGGGCTCTCCAATTCTTGGGCCACAGACTGGTACTGGTCCTTGGCCTGTTAGGAACTGGGGCACACAATAGGAGGTAAGCAGCCAACGAGTGAACATTACTGCCTGAGTTCCCACTGGTTCCACCTCCTGTCAGATCAACAGTGGCATTAGATTCTCATAGGAGCAGAAACCCTATTGTGAATGGTGCATTCAATGGATCTAGGTTGTGTGTTCCTTATGAGAATCTAAGCCCTGATGATCTGTCACTGGCTTCCATCCCCCTGAGATGTGACTGTCTAATTGCAGGAAAACAAGTTCAGGGCTCCCATTGATTCTATATATTGATTAATTGTATTATTTCATTATATATTACAATGTAATACAATAAAGTGTACAATAAATATAATGTGCTTGAATCATCCCAAAACCATATTGTCCCCCCACCGCTGCCCAGGCTATGGAAAATTTGTCTTCAAATAAATATCGGTCCCTGGTGCCAAGATTATTGGAAACTGCTGGTTTAAAAAGAGTAAATTACACCTGTAATCCCAGCAGTTTGAGAAGCTGAGGCGGGTGGATTATCTGAGCTCAAGGGTTCAAGACTAGCCTGGCCAATATGGCCCAACCCTGTCTCTACTAAAAAAAAATACAAAAATATTAGCCAGGCATGGTGGCGCATGCCTGTAGTCCCAGCTACTTGGGAGGCTGAAGCAGGAAGATTGTTTGAACCTGGGAGGTGGAGGTTGCAGTGATCTGACATTGCCCCACTGCACTCCAGACTGGGTGACAAAGCAAGACTCCATATCAAAAAAAAAAAAAAGTAAATTATAGGCAAGTAAGTCTTTTTTATAAATGCCCACAGATGTTGCCATTCTATACACTATTCTATGCCTTTTTTCTTTTTTTATGCTAACTTAAAAATAATACATTTGCATGGTTCAAAATTGAAATAACAGGCTGAGCACAGTGGCTCACACCTGTAATCCCAGTACTTTGGGAGGCGGAGGTGGGTGGATCACTTGAGGTCAGGAGTTTGAGACCAGCCTGGCCAACATGGTGAAACCCCATCTCTACTAAAAAAAATTTTTTTAAGTAGCCAGGCATGGTGGTGGGTGCCTATAATCCCAGCTATTCAGGAGACTGAGGTGGGAGAATTACTTGAATCCAGGAGGTGGAAGTTGCAGTGAGCAGAGATTGCACCCCTGCACTCCAGCCTGGGCGACAGAGTGAGACTCCATCTCCAAAAAAACAAATAAAATAAAAAACATAAATAAAAGTATAAAAAATAATTAAAATAACATGAAATGGAGATTGAGAAGTCTTGATCCTAACTATGTCTCTATCCAGCCTCTTCTTTACCATGAGTAGCACTCACCCTGGACAGTTCCATTTTGTCTGTCTCAGTATGCCATCCAATTTAGCACTGGTCCCAGATTTTTTACTCTTTACAAGGTAATATGATTTTTATTTTTACTAGAATAAGCAGGGACTAGCTTACTAGACCTCTACTTCATATTCCTAGCTTGTCATGGTCTAGTATTTTGCTCAATGAACAGAGTTCTCACATGAACACCTGGTTAAATTTGAAAAAAGACCAGCAATGAAATCCCTGTGCCTGACCCCCCCAAACTCAATATAACACTTTCCTCTCAAGTCAGCGTGGACAGTACTTACTGACAAAACAGTGCGCTTAGAGTGGCTGGGAACAGCTAACTCCTTCTGTAGCTGTGGTTGGAGAAGTTTTTCAGGCTGATATCTGGGATCAGTGATAAATGATAGGTTAGTGATACACGAAGCATGTACAGAGAGAACTCTAAATGTTCTTGCTACAACTATTTTACCACTTACTGTGTGGGAGAAATCTCTATTTGGTATTTGTTAATTTTTTATTTTGTAATAAGCCCTTTCTTCCATAATGAACTTAAAAGATGTCTAAAAAAAAAAACCTAAGTGAATATTGGATTTCCATTTCTGTGTATAACCTGCACAAAATTTTTGTTGACATTTACTATCAGTGCCATATCAAGATCAATAACCAGGCCGGGCGTGGTGGCTCACACCTGTAATCTCAGCACTTTAGAAGGCCAAGGCTGGTGGATCACTTGAGGTCAAAAGTTCAACAACAGCCTGGCCAACATGGTAAAAATCCATCTCTACTAAAAATTTAAAAAATTAGCCAGATGTGGGGCAGGCGCCTGTAATCCCAGCTACTCAGGAGGCTGAGACAGGAGAATTGCTTGAATGCGGGAGGCAGAGGCTGCGGTGAGCTGATTGCACCGTTGCACTCCAGCCTGGACAACAGAGCGAGATTCCATGTCAAAAAATAAAAAGAACAGCTTTTTGGCAACAGGTTTGCCGCCAGAACACAGGTGTTGTGAAAACTACCCCTAAAAGCCAAAATGGGAAAGGAAAAGACTCATATCAACATTGTCATCGTTGGACACGTAGATTTGGGCAAGTTCACCACTACTCGCCATCTAATCTACAAATGCAGTGGCATCGACAAACAAACCATTGAAAAATTGGAGAAGGAGCCAGCTGAGATGGGAAAGGACTCCTTCAAGTATGCCTGGGTCTTAGATAAACTGAAAGCTGAGCGTCAACTTGGTATCCTCATTGATATCTCCCTGTGGAAATTCAAGACCAGCAAGTACTACATGACTGTCATTGATGCCCCAGGATACAGAGACTTCATCAAAAACATGATTAGAGAGACATCTCAGGCTGACTGCGCTGTCCTGATTGCTGCTGCTGGTGTTGGTGAATTTGAAGATGGTATCTCCAAGAATGGGCAGACCCGAGAGCACGCCCTTCTGGCTTACACACTGGGTGTGAAACAACTAATTGCTGGTGTTAACAAAATGGAGTCCACTGAGCCACCCGACAGCCAGAAGAGATATGAGGAAATTGTTAAGGAAGTGAGCACTTACATTAAGAAAATCGGCTACAACCCCGACACAGTAGCATTTTGCCAATTTGTGCTTGGAATGGTGACAACATACTGGAGCACAGTGCTAACATGCCTTGGTTCAAGGGTTGAAAGGTCACCCGTAAGGATGGCAATGCCAGTGGAACCCGCTGCTTGAGGCTCTGGACTGCATCCTACCACCAACTCGCCCAACTGACAATCCCTTGCACCTGCCTCCACCAACTCACCCAGCTGATAAGCCCTTGCACCTGCCTCTCCAGGATGTCTATAAAATTAGTGGTATCAGTACTGTTCCTGTTGGCCGAGTGGAGACTGGTGTTCTCAAACCCGGTATGGTGGTCACCTTTGCTCCAGTCAACATTATAACTGGAGTAAAATCTGTTGAAATGCACAATGAAGCTTTGAGTGAAGCTCTTCCTGGGGACAATGTGGGCGTCAATGTCAAGAATGTGTCTGTCAAGGATGTTCGTTGTGACAGCAAGAACGACCCACCAATGGAAGCAGCTGGCTTCACTGCTCAGGTGATTATCCTGAACCATCCAGGCCAAATCAGTGCTGCCTATGCCCCTGTACTGGATTGCCACACGGCTCACATTGCATGCAAGTTTGCTGAGCTGAAGGAAAAGACTGATCGCTGATCTGGTAAAAAGCTGGAAGATGGCCCTAATTTCTTGAAGTCTGCTGATGCTGCCGTCATTGATATGGTTCCTGGCAAGCCCAATGTGTGTAGAGAGCTTCTCAGACTATTTACCTGTGGGTCGCTTTGCTGTTCATGATATGAGACAGACAGTTGCGGTGGGTGTCATCGAAGCAGTGGACGAGAAGGCTGCTAGAGCTGGCAAGATCACCAAGTCTGCCCAGAAAACTCAGAAGGCTAAATGAATATTATCCCTAATACCTGCCACCCCAGTCTTAATCAGTGGTGGAGGAAGAACAATCTCAGAACTATTTGTTTCAATTGGTCATTTAAGTTTAGTAGTAAAAGACAGGTTAATGATAACAATGCATCATAAAACCCTCAGACAGAAAGGAGAATGTTTTGTGGACCACTTTGGTGTTCTCTTCTGCATGTGGCAGTTTTAAGTTGTTAGTTTTTAAAATCAGTACTTTTTAATGGAAACAACTTGACCAAAAATTTGTCAAGAATTTTGAGACCCATTTAAAAAGTTGAATGAGAAAAAAATAATAATAAAATAAAAATAAAAAGATCAGGCCTGGCACAGTTCATGCCTGTAATCCCAGCACTTTGGGAGGCCAAGGTGGGCGGATCACTTGAGGTCAGGAGTTCGAAACCAGCCTGGTCAACATGGTGAAACCCCATCTGTACTAAAAACACAAAATTAGCTGGGCATGGTCGCGCATGCCTATAATTCCAGCTACTCAGGAGGCCAAGGCAGGAGAATCACTTGAACCCAGGAGGCAGAGGCTGCAGTGAGCCAAGATTGTGCCACCGCACGCCAGCCTGGGTGACAGAGTGAGACCCTGTCTCAAAAATAAATAAATAACCACAGGAAAACCAGTAGACATGAATTTTCTGTAGCAGTATCTGTATCTATTTCAAAACTTAGCAATTATCTTAAAGAAACATTACCCAGAGTCCAGGCATGGTGGTTTGTGCCGGTAATCCCCAGCATTTTGAGAGTCTGAGGCAGGTGGTTCACTTGAGGTCACGAGTTTGAGACTAGCCTGGCCAACATGGTGAAATCCCATCTCTACTAAAAATACAAAAATTACCTGGGTGTGGTGGTAAATGCCTGTAATCCCAGCTATTTGGGAGGCTGAGGCAGGAGAATCATTTGAACCCAGGAGGCAGATGTTGTAGTGAGCCAAGATCATGCCACTGCACTCCAGCCTGGGTGATAGAGCAAGACTCTGTTTAAAAAAAAAAAAAAAATTACCCAGAGACAATGATTTAATTAATACAATTAATACAGAAGGTGTACTTACAAATCACTCTGTGAAGCAAGACTTTTCACTTAAATAAACTGACTGTTTTTAATTAATTTCACTCATCTTCTCATCCTCAATTCAGCGTTTTCTTATGCCCATGGAAAAAGTTAACCCATGGCTGTTAATATGTAGACTAGACTAGATATATGTTAATATATAGAACTTCCAGTTATATGATGCCGATTTTATCAGTAACATCTTCAGATTCAAATTAAAAAACTGACTTCATTTATCCTGGTAAGGTTCAAATTTTTCACTCAATTCTTTTCATCAATGTTGAAGTAAAACGATCTGATATTTTAATGTTACTAAGAAATTAGCTTAAAAGTTCAACAATTCTGTGGCCTGTTGGGGAAGAGTGGGGAGGATGGAAAACATTAGGAAAATGGGCTAATGCATGCTGGGCTGAATACTTAGGTGATAGGTTGATCTGTGCAGCAAATCACCATGGCACACATTTGCCTATGTAACAAACCTGCACATCCTGCACGTGTGCCGGGGAACTTAAAAAAAAAATTTAAGTTCAACAATTAAGATTAAATTGTTTCCATGTTAATATAAAGCTGGGTGGAGCATAGCATTGTAGTACAAATTTAAAAAATAAAAATTAGGCTGGTCATGGTAGCTCACACCTGTAATCACAGCACTTTGGGAGGTGATCATCTGAGGTTAGGAATTCCAGACCAGCCTGACCAACATGGTGAAACCCCATCTCTACTAAAAATAGAAAAATTAGCTGGGTATGGTGGCAGGTGCCTTTAAACTCAGCTACTGGGCCGGGCGCAGTGGCTCACGCCTGTAATCCCAGCACTTTGGGAGGCCGAGGCGGGTGGATCACGAGGTCAAGAGATCGAGACCATCCTGGTCAACATGGTGAAACCCCGTCTCTACTAAAAATACAAAAAATCAGCTGGGCCTGGTGGCGCGTGCCTGTAATCCCAGCTACTCAGGAGGCTGAGGCAGGAGAATTGCTTGAACTCAGGAGGCAGAGGTTGCAGTGAACCGAGATCACACCATTGTACTCCAGCCTGGGAAACAGAGCAAGACTTTGACAAAAGAAACAGAGAGAGAGAGAGGAGGGAGGGAGGGAGGGAAGAAGGGAAGGAAGGAAGGAAAGAAGGAAGGAAGGAAGGGAGAAAGAGAAAGAGAGGAAGGAAAGAAGGAAAGCAGGAAGGAAGGACAAGAAAGAAAGAAAAAGAAGAAAGAAAGAAAAGAAAGAAAAAGAAAGTAACTAACTTCAGGCTGGGCGCAGTGGCTCAGGCTTATAATCCCAGCACTTCAGGAGGCCAAGGGGAGCTGATCACTTGAGGTCAGGAGCTCAAGACCAGCCTGGCCAACATAGTGAAATTAGTGAAATCCCATCTCTACTAAAAATATAAAAAATTAGCGCACCACAGTCGCAGGAGCCTGTCATCCCAGTTATTTGGGAGGCTGAGGCAGAAGAATGGCTTGAACCCAGGAGGCAGAGGTTGCAGTGAGCTGAGACTGTGCCACTGCACTCCAGCCTGGGCAACAGAGTGAGACTCCATCTCAAAAAAAGAAAGAAAGAAAGAAACTCCAGTTTATGAAGTCCTTATTGAGGTGCAAAGTGTTGAGAGCAATACTTGCAAACAGGAAAATATTAGACTTGATCCCTACAAAAGGCAGGGAAAGACTGAAAAAATTAAATAATGATAAATCACCCTGAAATACCTTGGCTTATGAAAAAAAAATCTTGTAATGAAATTTTTTTTTTTTCTGAGACAAGTCTCACTCTGTCACCAGGCAAGGGTGCAGTGGCATGATCTCAGCTCACTGCAGCCTCGACCTTCCAGGCTCATGTGATTCTCCCACCTCAGCCTCCAGGATTGCTGGGACTACAGGTGGGCACCACCATACCCAGCTAACCTTTTGTATATATGGTAGAGATGGGGTTTCACTATGTCGCCCAGGCTGGTCTTGAACTCTTGGGTTCAAGCAATCCTCCCACCTCAGCCTCCCAAATTGCTGAACTTCTATTTTTAACTGGATAAATGTATATTCTGGCCAGTCATGGTGGCTCATGCCTGTAATTCTAGCACTTTGGGAGGCTGAGGCTGGCAGATCACCTGAGGTCAGGAGTTTGAGACCAGCCTGGCCAACACAGTGAAACCCCATCTCTCCTAAAAGTACAAAAATCAGCTGGATGTGGTGCACATGCCTGTAATCCCAGCTACTCTGGACGCTGAGGCAGGAGAATCGCTTGAACCTGAGAGGCAGAGGTGGCAGTGAGCTGAGATAGCAGCCACTGCACTCCAGCCTGGGCAGTGGAGTAAGACTCTGTATAAAAAAAAAAAAAAAAGAAAGAAAGAAAAGGGGGACAGGCCAGCCAGCACCTTCCAGAAAGGTAGCGCCAGTCCTGGCCCTCATAAATAAATAAATAGAGAGGACACACACACACACACACACACACATTATGTTCTGTACTGGAATGGAGTGAAATTGAGAGGGTTTACTATTTTGTAGCATCTAAATTTGATGAAACAGGCCAGGTGTGGTGGCTCACGCCTATAATCACAGCATTGTGGGAGGCCGAGGCAGGCGGATCACTTGAGGTCAGGTGTTTGAGACCAGCCTGGCCAACATGGCAAAACCCTATCTCTACTAAAAATACAAAAAAAAGTAGCTGGGTGTGGTGGCAGGCGCCTGTAGTTTCAGTTAATTGGGAGGCTGAGGCAGGAGAATCGCTTGAATGCAGGAGGCGGAGGTTGCAGTGAGCCAAGATCTGCCACTGCACTCCAGCCTGGGTGACAGAGAGAGACTCTGGGTCAAAAAAAAAAAAAAGGAAAAAAGACCACATACAAGTTACATCTCTCCAAGAGAAAAAAACTTCCATTTCCATTTGTGCGCTGCTAGTGGATAAAATAGGTAATGCATGCACATTGTACAAATTCAAGTGACCCAAGGTTTTTTTTAAAGAAACAATTTTCTTGTAAAAACATTTGTTGCCAATTTACTTTGAATTTATTTCAGCATACCCAGTTGAAGGTGGGGCAAATGTGAATGAGAATATAAAATAAAGTAAAAGCAGCCATGAGATGATGATTGTGGCTGTGTGATGTGTGAGCCAGGTCCATTGCGCTATTTGTTCTACTTTCATATAAGCTTGAAATTTTGACAAGAGAAAGTTTAGCCGGGCGCGGTGGCTCA